CTTCCTGTGCCTGCTTGAAGATGTGAGAGCTTAGCCTCTGCTCCTACTCCAGCCACCTCTGCCATCATGCATCCCTGCCATGATGGACTGACTCTTGCCCCTTTGGAACCATAGACTAAATAAACTCTTCCATTTTATAAAAGTTTCCTTGGTCATGGTGTTTCTATTACAGCAGCAGAAAAGTAACTAATATAATTATCAAAGCCAGAAGCTTTCCAACTTCCTTTATCTTGGGACAAGGGTTCATCAGTCTTTCTACTTTTCTCAGGGAAATCATCTTTTCAAAAATCTCTGACTGTACCAATTCTGCACAATTCCTCATGAGAACACTGCCTGGATATCTCTGGAATGTCATAGATAAAAATTAAGATTTTGGGCCCCAAAATACCATCCTCTAGACTTGATACAACTGTTAAAATTATGAATTCCACAACTGTGGTCACCTGCACTGGGCCCACACAAGACAAAGCCCTGTCAAAATCAGTCATAGAAGAGGTAGAGGTTCATGGGGTCATACCCCTTACTGCTGAACTATTGGCTATTGGCAATTTCATTGTCTCCAATTGTGTACCCACTACTAAGCCTACCAGGCTCCAACAGATAACTCCAAGCCCATAGTCACTTAGATAGCAAATAGACATGAAAGTGAGATTTGTAGGGAAAGGGGGTAGGACAAGAATATTAAGGGGATAGGAGAGGATGGGGGGAAAGAGCGACCAGCATGCATAATGTACATGTTTGAAATTGTCAAACAGCAAATTTAACTTAAAAAAATCCTAAAATTTCAACCCTCATTGAATTAAAGTTTTACTTCTTTATATCATGGAATATTATGTTTTATGAGATGATAAGACTATTTAAATTAAAAACTATATTAACTAAAACACAAACTTAAAAATATAAAAGCTAAATGAGAATATTTCAGAATTAGTGATTATCTAGGGACTAGCGTGAGTTCTAACCATGGACCCACTTGGTGGCCTCACCTAAAGTTTTAGATTTTGTCAAAATGATAATGCGGAGGATTAGTTTCTATTTAAATAACTCTCCTAAAGGTAACAAGCATAAATCTAAACCAGAGTTATTGAAGTTTTTCAAATCATATTTTCTTTTCTACTCAATAGAAAGATCTTTTCTCCTTTTTGGAGATATTAAGAAGCTGCAATGATGTCATGAATCTCATGCTTCCTTAGGCAGAGGGTAGAAACCCTTATGGAATGAGGTTGTTTGTTTTCCTCTTGCTCCTTGTGCAATCCCTGGGGAAGTTCATTTTTAGGGCCTCTGGGTGCTGATTAGCTCCAGAATCTACAAAGCACCAAGATATATTCACTGACCCTCAGCTTACCCTTTATGAGCCTTCTAGACACAGGCTACCTTGGACCAATATAACACTTATTCCCCTCTCTACAAAAATCATACCAGGATTTCCAGGGTGCTGTAGGCAGGTAAGTACCCCACGGCCCTCCCCAACCACTCTGCTATTCTGCTTTCCTTCCTTATCAAGGAAGGAGGACAGTCACTCATGAGATCAGTGGTTTTTCTCTCTCCATATGTGAATAAAGTATCAAGTGATGATAGATTCAGGAAGTGGTAGTGAGCTATAATGATGGTCTTTTCCACTCGCAGTGACTGGAAGGAAACACAAATACATATACATGAATATATAAATATGTAAATACATAAACATACATATATGTTTATGTCTGTGTGGCAAGGGCCTTGGGAGTCATCAGGGATTTGGAGAAAAAGAATGAACTCTTTACTCTGAACAAATTTTGATATATGTGACCTAGAACAAGTTAATTTTTATGAGCTTTACTTTTCTCATTGATTAGCTACAGCTAGTCAATAGTTTTCGTAGAAAAAGACAGGATGAAGGTGATAGAGGTGCTGGGAGCACTGCACTCTCCTATGGAGACCCCGGCCCATTAGCATAATCTAGACTCTTCATCTTGAGCTGTAGATTTTGAATGGCTGTCCTGTGTCTCTGGTCAAGCTCCTCTTTTTAATGCTTCTGTTTTCTGTCCTTTACTCCATCTGCAAGTACTGAAATATTCAGGTTATTAATTGCCTGTGATACCAAAAGAAAGTTCAATAAAAGATTGGACTGAATAAAGAGATCTTCCTTGGGGACCTGGAGTAGTGTCATAGAACTGAGTTCCAAGGAACAGATTTTGATGTGTGGAACGGGACAGTGTTTTGGATAGAAAAGAAGTGAAAATGAATTCATAGGAAGAGCGTGGTCTAGCACAGTCAAGATCGATAGGAAAGGACCCTTAAAGGCAACTTTCCAGATCTATCTGCTCCAGTGACAACTGAAGGGCCTTTGATTTTTGGTTTCCCTCAATTGTCTCTTCGTCTTGGGATTCTCCCCATATGTAATCGAGTAGAAGCTGGTTAAATGTTCCTTAGGACTTCAGTCTTCCCTTTGCCTTTGAAAATCCCCCAGTCCACAGACACATAAAAACATGTTCCTCATGACGTTTCCTAGCAACTCCATTTTTTACAAGCCTCTGAGATATCACCGTTTTTACTATTATACAGCATCATTCGTAAAGCCTCAATAGAACACATGTCCAAGTAATGTAGAGTTAACATGTGAACTTCATGTTAGATGGTCCTAAGTTTGAGTGCCAGATTTCTCAAGAGCTTTAGAACCTAAAGTTTCTTATTTAATCTTTCTGAATATTAGTGTCCTGATAACACAGAGAGAATGGTGGTTACTCCATAGAGTTTAATGAAATTAAATGAAAAAAAAGTTACAGCATATATATTTAAATGTTTTTAATATGTTTTTAGAAATCTTTCACATCTCCAGTCTTTAACTTCTGTGCCTTCTGTACTTTGGCCTTTGCTCTGCTCTTTCCTTAAACTCTATCTTTTGATTTCATAGAATCTTTTCCTACTACCCTTCTCTCTTATACTATTTTCTTCCTATGATGTACTTTCTGGAACTTCATAAACTCATGTATTCACTGAGCCAGGGAGAGACACTAGTCAGTCACTATACAATGCCACAAACTTCATAGTTGTTGAAATACTGAAGCACTTCTCTACCATGCAGCTAATAGCCACCCCACCCCAACACCTTTTCCTGGGGTTCTCTGGCTCTCTTCCTGAACCAGTAGCTAAAGGTTAATATAGGCCTAGTAGGAGCCTTCAGGAAGCTGGGAAACTCTGGGCAAGGCACTCATTTTAACTGGTAGGTGTCCACTCATATCATACCAGCATCCTGTAGATACAGACTAGATACACTTATAAGTCATTTTCCCTGCATTTGACAGGTTCAAGTCTCTTCCTCTTCCTCCAGCTCTCAGTAGTGGCCTATGGAGCCAGATGCCTGGGGAAACAGCACAGCTGTTAATGAATTCATCCTTCTTGGCCTAACAGGAAACATTCGACTGCAACTTGTCTTTTTCGTTGTCTTTTTCTTTGCCTATGCAATCACAGTTGGCGGTAACTTTAGCATCTTGGCTGCCATCTTTATGGAGCCCAAACTCCACACTCCCATGTACTACTTTCTCGGGAATTTATCTCTGCTGGACATCGGATGTATCACTGTCACCGTTCCACCAATGCTATCCTGTCTCCTGACCCACCCGTGCAGATTTCCCTATGCTGCCTGCATTTTGCAGCTCTTCTTTTTCCACCTCTTAGCTGGTGTGGACTGTCATCTCTTGACAGCCATGGCCTATGACCGCTACCTAGCTATCTGCCAGCCTCTCACCTATAGCACCCGGATGAGCCGTGAAGTCCAGGGTGCCCTGGTGGGCATTTGTTGCACTATCTCCTTCATCAATGCTTTGACTCACACAGTGGCTGTGTCTGTGCTGAACTTCTGTGGCCCTAATGTAGTCAACCACTTCTACTGTGATCTCCCACCTCTTTTCCAGCTCTCCTGCTCCAGCATCCACCTCAATGGGCAGCTACTTTTTGTGGGAGCCACCTTCATGGGAGTAGTCCCCGTAATCCTTATCTCAGTGTCCTACGCCCATGTTGCTGCTGCAGTACTAAGGATCCGCTCTGCAGAGGGGAGGAAGAAGGCATTTTCCACATGTGGTTCCCACCTCACTGTGGTCTGTATGTTTTATGGAACCGGCTTCTTCAGTTATATGCGTCTGGATTCAGTCTCAGCTTCAGACAAAGACAAGGGCCTTGGAATTTTCAATACTATCCTCAGCCCCATGCTGAATCCACTCATCTACAGCCTCCGGAACCCTGATGTGCAGGGCGCCCTGAAGAGGGTGCTGACAGGAAAGAGGCATCCAGTGTGAGAAGACAGGACAGGGGCATCAAAACATCCTGCCCTTCCTACACATGTGCCTGACCTTCTTATGCTGGAGACCCAGGTGTGCACGTGCAGAGGAAATCTTCACACTTGGGTCTACAAATGGGAACAAAGTAGACGGTGTGGATCAAGGTAGAATATGGTTTGTCTTGGACTGGGAAGAACACTAAAGATTCATTGAGTAAAAGGGTTCTTGGGTTATTTATAGAAAATGTATTAAAGATGGAAGAAAAATTTAACATGGATCAGGAAACAGGAGATGAATTTATTTAATGATTGTTGAAATGACATATACTTAAAATATTAAATAAAATAAACATTTGGTCTCTTTAAGATATTTTATATTTGTGCTAATGTATAAGATTTAAAAAAAATCTACTTTAAGAAATAGGTCTAGTGTGAAGTCTAACCTGGGAACAGGGTGCTGCTTCCTGTCAGAGCATCCTGGCATCAATGTCTTTAGAGCAACTTCATTAGAACCTTGTCCACGAACCAGAGCTCACTTCCTGACTAACTGTTATGTATGCTTACCTGATAGTGTATGAGCAGATTCTCATGATCCCTCCACTAAAAACATGAGAATTTTCTTCCTATGGGAATAATTAAGAAGTTGTGAGATATATCCCAGTACTTGGGAGGTAGAGACAGACAGTTCTCTGTGAGGTTGAGGCCAACCCAGCCTACATAGTGAGTCCCAGACCAGCTGGGACTGCAGAGAGATACTGTCTCAAAATATGAAAAAAGGGAGTAGTAAGATTTATTTTTAATAGTAGAATGCATTGTCTTGGGCATTCCCTTTAATGTATCTGCATATGCCATTCATAAATATAGAGAGATTTTAACAGGAAAATCAAGGGAGATATTGTGTGCAAACTATCAATGACTGACTGCTGGAATTCAGGATTCAACCAACAGGGTAACTAAGGCAGTAGTACTGCCAGTAGGCCTGGACTGTAGAGTGGCATCTCTCATATTTATTCTGGCAAACAGTTCATGCACTTCTGGCCAAGAAGCTGGAAATGTATGACTGAATTTACTGTTGTGCTTATGAGTTTTCTAAAAAAGTGTCTTAGTTACTTCCTTTGCTGTGATTAAACACACTGACCAAAACCAACTTGGAAAGGAAAGGGCTTATTTTGTCTTATATCTCTCAGGTCACAGTTTATCACTGAGGGAAGTCAAGGCAAGAACCTGGAGCACAGACGGAGGTATGCTGCTTACTGGCTTGCTTTCCTGGCCTGTGTTCAACCTGGTTTCTTATATAACACAGGGCCACCTGCACAGGGGTAGCAGCACATGCACAGTGGACTGGACCCTCCCACATCACCCAACAATCAAGAAAATACCTGGCAGACTTGTCTACAGGTCAGTCCAAAGGAGGAAATTCCCCAAATGAAATTCCCTCTATTCAGGTGTGTTAAGTTGACAGCTGAAACTATTCAGCACAATTGACCCCTTGTCAACTTGATACACAAACACATCACTATTAAA